CAAGTATGGCTTAGAAAGTATTATGAAACCGTTCATGCATGATTTAGAAAAATTAGAAAGTGACGAGGGAGTCAGTTTTGGTGTAGAGGATGAGATTATTACACTGAGAGCATCATTAGCCTGCGTTTGTGCTGACAGTCTAGCTGCTCATCAACTTTTTGGATTACTTAGTCCTTCTGCTCGACATTTTTGTAGATCATGTATGATCAAGAGACAGGATTTATTATCAGGCTCACTTGATAATTTTCAACCTCGAAACAGAAAGTTATATCAAGAACATGTGCAAAGAGTTATGCAAAATCCTCAAGCTATGACTGAAACAGGTCTCAGAGAAAATAGTTGTCTTCATGCATCAAAATACTTTCATTGCATGGATAACTTTGTGTTTGACCCGATGCATGACATTCTAGAAGGAGTCGCTCAGCTTGATTTGAAATTAGTTATTGCTCGGGTAATTCTCTCTAATGATTATGATTTGGATATAGACACTTTTAATAAAAGAATTCATTTATTCAAGTACGGAATAAATGAAGTTAAAAATAAGCCATCTCCAACATTCTTGGTTAATTCTCTTCGTAATTTGAAGGACCATACCATTCCACAAAAAGCTATTCAAACTTGATTTCTGTTACGTATATTTCCTTTCTTAGTATCAGATAAAGTTGAAGATGATGACGAATACTTAAAGCTTATCTTGCTATTAAATAGGATCAATGAAATAGTTTTTGCTCCCAAATTACACATGAATATTTTGTCATATCTTGATGAACTTATAAAAGAACACAACGAACTCTTTCTCAAACTATTTGGCCATGAAGTTGATGCGATCAATAAAGTGCATCATTTAACCCACTATGCTCAGTGTATTCAAAAATCAGGGCCTCTACGCCCATTGTCTTATTTACTCTATGAAGCTAAACACAGTTTTTACAAGCGACAGGGTTCTATATGTTGCAATTATATAAATATTGCAAAAACTCTCATAAATATTAGTCAAATCTGTCAAACAGTAGTTTGGGGAATGGACGACGAAGTACGTCCCAAATTCCACTGTGCTAAAACAAAACCTGTAATAGTTGATGATACTGCAAGTAAAGATTTTTTAATATCAAAAGGTTTAAATAGTACTACTCTGCTTTTAAAAACCAAAAAAGTAGAAGTTTACAATATGGACTATAGAGAAGATTCAATAGTTGCCATTGATTCTGGGACTGCAAGTGACGAAGGAATGCCTATGTTTGGCAAAGAAATTTTAATTTACAATAATGATATTTTCCTATTGTGTGCTGAGTGTTCTGCTTTGTGGCTAGAAGAGTCATTAAATGCATATTGCTTCTCGGAAACTTCACAATTAAGATTAGTAAACACGAATGATTTACCAGACTCAAAGCCATTTAGTGCATGGCAAGATTATAATTCAGAATATTTGTACATAAGTTTGCGTCACTTTCTTATGTGATACAAACTTTCAACCCTAACAACTCATCAGTGTTCAAATTTTTTATTTATCAATTTAAGAACCCCATTCAAATCCAAACTCCTGTGGCACATTCCCTGCGGAATCGTCTGCTACATGTCAAACAAGCAGAGCAGAACAAAGTGTACAGGTTAGAATACCTTACTTGCTCATGAGAAGTGTGGCTCTGGATAAGAGTTTGTGAAATGTTGCTAATTGACTGATTGTTTTATTGTGGTTAAGTGTTTCATACTTAATATTTGTGTGAGCATACGTTTATAAATTTATATTTTATAGATGAAGAGATTGATGGCAAAACCTTACTGCGACTGACTGGTCCGGATTTCAGAGCATTGAATATCAAGATGGGGCCAACTTATAAACTTTTGGAAATAATTGAAGATGCTGTAACTGTGGTAAGCTGTCTTTCTGTACAATTCAATGTATTTGACAAGTAATGCATGTGATTTTCTCAACAGGACTGTATTGTACAATGTGATGGCAGCGTCGTACCCAGTGTAGCCAGTGTACCCAATGTAGCCAGTGTTGTCCCCAATGTAGCAAGCGTCGAATCAGGCAGCATTAGTGATCACCCGAGCCAAACCAGCACAATAGAAAAAGAATGCTGTTCAATAAGTTCTCCAGGTCCATCATGTTCAAACTTATCTCAGGTATTTGTACTCTTTTATATCAGTATATCAACACCACTGAAAATCTAAAGTATAATAAAGAGTAAACTTGAATTTACAGCAGCAATCTGAGCCAACATCAATAAACCTTTATAATGTTCGACTGTGGGTGCAAGAAAAGGATAAAGAAAGTTCATCCAAAGCAAGTTTGGAGGTAATACTAGATAAAGGTGTGGTGAAGGATGTAGATCGTCAATCTTTAGTCCGGACTGTCATATCTCACTTTAAATCAGTAAGTTTGTATTTACAGTATCTTAACCTTTTAATTTGAAAAATTTAAAAGTATTTAACTATAACTTTTAATTCTAGTTATCCATCAAAGGAAATGAAAATTAAAGCTGCTAAATCAATAATTACTGCTTTTCCAAAACTGAAATCACAAACTGGTTGTGGTTATGTAAGTTATCTTATTCATTATATTTTATCGAATACAAATCTTTATCTTGATGTCTAATTATTTATATTTTTTACAGGAACATTTCTACGATGAAAAGACAAACTCTGGTTTTCTTGAATGGAGACTGAAAACTATGAGGAAAGGGCTAAAAGACAGTGAGAAAAAAAGAACAAGAGGTCAAAAAAAACCTTTGACTGAAAAAAATACCAAAGTTTGCTTACCTACACAAGAGTATGAATCAAAAGTACGTATATCCTACATCAGTAAAACAAGTAATATATCATGAATAATTACAACACTTATCGATTAATCTATTTACAGGTATCACAGCTACAGTTCAAGATGCCTAACGAAACCAATAAAATATCTATACTTGAATTGATGGATGAGACTAGATTCGATAGGCAGCAGTGGATTAAGGATCCTGAAAACCAAGTTACACTTCATGATATCCTCAAGAAGTTTCCAAGGTTCACTGATTACAAAGGAGAACTGGTAAAGTTATTTATTTCTGATTGATTCTTGTGGAACTTTATGCTCTTCAAGGTATTAAATAATAACCAATTTTGTGTTTTTTTTAAATTTTCAGATACTTAGAGAATTCCAACAAATATTCACCGACAAGGACACCTTTTTAGGAAGATTTCCATCTTACTACGCTCCACGGATCCTACAGTACTGCAAACTCAACAAGCCACATTTACTTGATCAAGCACGAGAGATACCAGATGATCATTTGAAAGCTTTGCTGATCTTGCCAAACTTATTGCCGAGTCCCAATTATACGCATAGAAGGAAGACCAATGTGAGTTTGAAATCTATAGTATATATTTATGTATCTTGCTGTATACTAAACAAAATTCATTCTTGCAGGATCCAAAAAAATGTAAAGGTCAAAACAAAAAATGCAAAATTCAGTGCCTGAATTTTCTGCCAAAAAAATCCCCAATGACAATCTTTTAAAATTTGTTAAGGTAATCAGTTTTAACTTATATTTAATTTCTCATATTTACATAAATTCTAATTTCTACTGCTTTTTTACAGCCTAATGATGATATCATGCAAGCTGTAACAAGTACTTCTAATAAGTTACCTGTCCAGCCATTCCTAATCTGCGTTACAGATGGCTGTGAGAAAAAAGGAGAATATTTTATAAAAGCAGACAATTATAAAATTGGTGTAGGAAGAAATCCAATTGTTGCTTTTGATACTTTGGTCAAAATGCACTTTGTATTTGATATTCAATATGCTCCTGACTTAGAATATTTTTATAATTTTATAACATCTCAAGTTATGAGTTTGGATGTCTCTAGCAGATCCTGCTGCTCCGCTTTGAATACAACGTTGCTCTATTTAGATGAGGGAACTACCGAGTAAGTATATATTTTATGACAGTATACGTACATATAAAAATGTATACCACTTTAACCTACAAATACTATTATACCTATTACACAGGCCTGCAAGGTTTGAACAGTGACGACTCACTATTTTGCAGGCCTGTGTTATTACTAATTATTGATATTTTTTACAGAGACGACGATCAGGGTTTGTCTGAAGGAGATGACGAAGAAAACTGAGCATAGCCTTAAACTCGTTATTATATTAAGAATCGTTCATCCTATTTAAATCATTCTGTTATTGATCATCCATACATGTTTTTTACAAAAATAATGGGACATCTGTAATTTTATTTTCAGTAAAAAATAAATGTAATTTAATATAATATTGTTTTTATTATTTTTAGCTTAAGGACCATCCGAAATCAATAAATCACTCGATTATTTAAGTCATGTTGTCACTCATAAGCCTCGAGTGATTTGAGTCACCCCTGTATAAAGTGAGTTATCACTCTATTCGGACTGGCTCAATTTTTTCTGTGTGAAAGAGTGAGAAATGACTCTATTAGAGTGATATTTCACTCTTGACATTTAGAGAGTAGGATCTTCTTGGTAACCGGATTTTGAACATTAGCTAAGACGAGGCTCTTACGGATACAGGATTCGTCGTGTTGGAGGTCAGCGATAAGACTTCCCGCATCGCCTAAGTGACCTAAAAGAGTTGAAGTCTGATGGTTCTTGATACATGAGATCTTCAATTGAGCTAGCGACGATAGCCAAGGCAGCAAAGATTTTGGATTGTTTAGCGCTTATGCGCGAGTCGCGTTGTGACGCTGAGTTTTGTAGAAAGGATTTTATCTCTGTGTTCAGCTTTGGGGGTCCTATAAAAGGTTATTCTCTGGAGTCGGGTAAAGTGTGATGATGTCAATGCGCTCTTGTTCCGGAAGACCTTTTTTAATAATGCCCGATCAGTGGCGAGTGATCAATTCATTGACGGCGCTCGAATATGTCTTTTCGACTAAGAGATCTTTACCCAGCTCTTTAATACCTCATCTCTAGAGGTAGTTGGTTCTATTTTGGATTTTTCAGAACTATTGTCAGCTACTTTTGTGGGTACTTCAGAATTCAGGACTCGTCGACTTGTCACAATGAGGATGTGAGTGGTAGCGTGAATCGGAAACAGAGGGAGATCTGGAATTACTACGTACATTTCTTGGATTCTCTTCGTTGAGTGATCCACTGCTGCTTCTCGCTGCAAAAAATTTCAATTGTGTCAATTCTCTGAACTCGACTTTACATTTTTTATTTTTCAATTATATCGAATTCGACGGAAGCTTAAAGCTCAACGTGGACAATGCATGTATCCATAATTTTCGATTAAATCGAAATTTAACGTAAACTTAAAGTTTTACGTGAAATAGTAAGGAGAAGGTAACGAAATATTTTCATTGTGACCTCTATGCCGAGGTATTCCTTCTATGGGTAGATGTTTATAGTCCGACTTCTCTGATTACGGCGGCCGTCGGTTAGAGCCGGCGACGCCTATGATTCACGCATGCTTTGTGTGGACAAGGAAGGAATATCCTTAACTAAAAAATGTCGATTAGAGTCGACAATAATTAGTTCGAGTGCATGACAAGCTGTTGTTTCTGCCTAAAAAACAAAGAGAAAAATTTTCTTTCGCCCTTAACGGGCCGAGTTATGCTCGTAGCTACCTGTACATTTATTACATCTTCCATGTTTGCATGGAACTTCTGGAATACAGCCCAGAAATGTAAACTACTTACAGCATTGAGGTTTGTTCGAAGGTGATATCGATCTCCGTGATGATCCACGTGAGGATCTTGTTCTGCGAGATGATCGGCGGGATGATCTGCTTCTCGATCGGCGTTTTTTCCTAATCTTTTTTAAAAGATGTCTCAGTTGATCTTCTACATCTGATCCGTATTCACTAGAGTAAGAATTGTGTCTTTTACGGCCACCCATTGTGACATTCACAATACACCAAGGAATTTCGTTTTGTTGCGAACCGGCCAGTTCGGCACAAAGCGAAAGAATGAAGGAAGCGAGCACGAATTCTTGCCGGCGTCGCAGGAGCGCGTGGCGCGCCGCGGAGGCGCTGGCAGTGCCTCATCTTATCGCTTTTTTTAATTAAAAGCCTTAAGCTTTAAAAAATGGTGGGATTAGGCCAGGTCGACCTGAAATCGAAAGGACAAGTATATTTGATCATGAGGAAGTGGCGCACAATACAATTAAATCTGAGAAATATTTATTCAATTGACTACACCCTATTCCGGCATTTATAGCTCATAAAACAATAAAAATATAAAACATTGACTCTATTTTCAAAACCAATCCTTTTTTATCGTAAATGACACACAAATTTCAAACTACGTACACCTAGAATGATTCTGTAGTTGAGGTTATAGATTTTTTCCTTTTCTTTTCGCCGCAATGATCACTAGTTGGGACATTGTTGACAATTGAACAATCACGGTAAGCAATGCAATAAACGTCAATAGGTCCTTTCTTTTTGTTTTCACAATATAATCCAACGAAAACGGTTTTTTGTAACTCCTACACCTCATTACAGCTTGTTAAAATGTGATATTAAATAAGGTACACAGACACAAAATACAAATAACTTCTAAAAGATTTTTATTTATATGTGCTCGTGTCAAACTCTGCAAACAGAATGAATGATCGTAATGAAAAACAAATTACTGCGCCTTTTGCTGCCAAGCAACGGTTATAACATAAAAAGCTGAATTAATAAAACAGAATAACATCTATAGATTTTCGAATAAAGCACAGTATTTTTCAACACTCCCTCCCTTTATCGAAAATGAGGGATCTTCAGAACCAGTAAATAATAATATGAATGAAATGTTATTAAAAAAAACTTAATTCATCTCAGGAATTACAGGAACATCTTAAAAGCGTCTAGGAATCAATTAGCAGGAGATGTTTTATCTGTAAACAAAATAAGCAAAAGCAACATGTTTTAGATTGACATACCTAAAGTACTTGTTTTTAAATGATATTTAATAATTTATTCTTTAAATAGTTATGCGCATCTTTAGCAAGTGGTTTAGTCATAATGTCGGCAATATTTTCTATAGTCGAAACCCATCTAACTGTAACTTTGCCTTCTGAATAACATTGTTTTATAAAATCCCCATGAGTATCACCCATGTGTTTTCTACTTCTAGATTTTTCTCTAGCTTCTAAATTCATTTTTATAACTTCTAAATCATCATCAAAAGTTTTCAACTTGTGACTACCTTCCATTTGAACACATTTAATTGCAGCTTTGTTATCATTCCAAATCGTGACTGGATAAAATGTTTTACCTAGCATTTCTCTAACAGCTTTATCTAATGAAATGATTTCTTGACAGGATTCACTTATTGATAGATACTCAGCCTGACAAGTAGACAATGATACATATTGTTGCTTATGACTTTTCCAAGCTACAGGATCTCTAAATAATGAAATAACATAACCACTAGTAGAAGTGGAATTATCACAATCTCTAAAGCTTGCATCAGTCATTGCTTCAAGTGTATAGTATCACTTTTTCCTCTAAAAACTATTCCTAAGTCAGATGTACCTCTAAGATATCTAAAAATTCTTTTAACATCCATCCAATCATCTTCAGTAGCATTTATTTGCATTCTAGACAAATAGTTTACTGCGAAAGCAATATCTGGTCTGGTAGCACCAGCCAAATATAGTAAACTACCTATAGCTTCTCTATAGGAAGCTCTAGTTTTTGACACAATTAATTGATTTTGTTCTAAACTTCTATTTTTAACCTACCTAGTTATCATTGGTGTACTTTGTACTTTGCATTCCTTCATGTTAAACTTTTCTAATATTTTCTCTATGTAATCTTGTTGACTTATTTTCGTTACTCTATTTGCTCTATCTCTATGAATTTTCATACCAAGAAACATTTTAGGTTCGCCAAGATCTTTCATTTGAAATACTTGACTTAACCTTAATTTTATTTCTTCTAATTTATTTACATCATTACTTGCTATCAACATGTCATCTACATATAATGTGAGTATTGCCATTTTACCATTTTTCCTCCAAGTAAATAAACAAGGTTCATGTATATCATTTTCTAACCTCAATTTCAAAGCTTCTTCTGAAAATCTTTTATTCCACCTTTTAGGACTAATTTTCAAACCATATAATGATCTATGTAATTTACAAACTTTTGTTCTTCTAGTATTTTCATCAACATCTAACCCATCAGGAATTTCCATAAATATATCTTCCTTTAAAATTCCATTAAGAAAAGCTGTTTTTACATCCATTTGACAAACTTCTAAATCATATTTATTTACAATAGCTAAAACAGATCTAATGACAGGCAATCTTGATACGGGTGCATAGGTTTCTTTTAATTCATATTCTTTGCAATCTTTAAAACCTCTAATAACCAAGCGAGCTTTATAAATTGGTTTCGTATTTTCACTAGTTTTAACTTTGAATACCCACTTAGAATCTATAATGTTTGCTCTACTCCCATCTTTATTACACGTTGGTCTATCTACAATCGTCCACACATTGTTTTCTTTCATTGAATTTAATTCCTCATCTACAGCCTTTATTTTTAGTTTCTAATGCTTCTTTAAAAGAAATCGGATCTTTATTCATCATAGCAAAGAATGAAATTTTCAACTCATCTTCCTCTAAACAATTACTAGTTATCTCATCAATCAACAGATCTTCGGCAAATAATTTTATCAACTTCTATAGTATTAGATACAAAGTATGCAAAGCTTGTGTCAACAATTTTATTACTTAGTCTACGAGCCTTTATGTACTGTTCTCTATTTTCATCTAATTTTGCCTGTCTAGTAGGTTGCTTTCGTCTTTTAATTTCAATCACATCTAGTTCATTTGTTTCAATTTTTCTTTTCTTAGATTTTGATTTATTATTGTTACCTTTTAATAAACTATCTTTGCTTGGTACATCTACATCTTTATTTTTATTTTCAGAACTCTCTTTCTGTGTTTCATTATCATTAAAAACATTCAACCAATCATCATGAACAGAATCTATTCCTACTTCAACTTTATCAACATCTTTTAATATCATATAGAATTGTATGTTTGAAAACATCTTTGTAAACTAATTTTTCATTAAATCTAACATGACGCGATCTAATGAATTTTCCTGAACCTGGATGCCACAAATCATATCCATTGGTTGAGTAGCCAACTAATACTCCTTTAATTGCTCTATTTGAAAACTTAGTTTTTGCAATTGGAATTTTAACATAAGCAATACAATCAAATATTCTAATTTTGTTGAAATGAAAATTTACTTTTGGAACAAATTTACGAATAGGAATTTCAAAATCAATAGCTTTATGAGGAGTTCTATTATATAAATGAACAGCTGATTCAGCAGCAAAAATCCACATACTACTAGGCAATCCAGAATCAATCATCAAAGCTCTAATCTTTTCTTGTATAGTTTTATTAAACCTTTCTGCAGTGCCATTCAACTCTGGTGTATAAGGAGGAGCAAAATCACTCTCTATATTTTCTCTTTTCATTATTTCAGAGAATTGTCCTCCAATAAACTCTTTAGCATTATCACCTCTAATAAAACAAAATTTAACATTTTCACCAATCAAATTCCGTTATGAATTTATAAACTTTTTTAAACAATTCCCAGCTTCACTTTTACATTTAACTGAATAAACTTTAGCGAATCTACTGTAATCGTCAACAAAAACAATAATAAAACGATTAGCCCCAGGAAATGAAAGAGGTTTGATTGGTCCCGTCATATCAGTGTGAATAATTTGTAAAGGACTTTCAGCTCTATTTCTTTTATCATTAACAGGTAATTTTTCCATTTTTGCTAATATACAAACTTCACAATCTTGAATAGACTCATCAAATTTAACATCTTTTAATTTTGGCTCTAATTTTTGTAATTTTCTTAAATAGGTTAGAGACATGTCCTAACCGAATATGCCAAAACATACCTCCACCAAGTTTCTGGGCATCTACATTTTCAGATTCTGATAACTCTGAGATACAAATTTCTTTAACTATATCAAAATCTTCTATACATTCTAAATCAACAATTTGTCTATTGAACTCAAAATCATCTATATCAGTGTTGCCGGCAGACGCGGGTAATCTGTTTGGCATCGGGGAAAATCCGAGTCACAAAAAAAGAGAAAATCCCGGTTGGTAATGAGCGTGCCGCGGCCAGACAGCGAACACGTGTTAGTGTCTCACGTAGACCATCTTTCTTGCGAAACAAAAAAAAATCGATATTTGTGAACCGGTCCGACCGCGTAGTGCTGCGCCCCTTTGTTTGCTGCTCCGCTCATCGTAACGGTATGGCTGTCATATGGCAGCCACGGCCGTATGCTTACAGCTCGGGAATGAAACCCGAGGCTGATACGACCAAGAGGACCCTGGAAGCGGTCACACCGCTCGGATATCGCACAAGGGCGAATTCGAGGCGGCCCAGCAACCTATGAGCGGGGCGCAGGGAAGGGGCGGGGCGCGCGCGGCCGTGGATTGGTCGGGGCCCGACGGTCGCAACGATGCATCGGCAGCGTTGCGCGCGACAGTTCAGTTTTACCTCTGGCCCTCGAACAAGCCGCTTTCCTTGTATATTGCGACGTGTAACATTGTTCAATTATTGAGTGCGCGGCTACCACTCACTTGTAGTAGTGAAATAAAATTAAAATAACACATTGTCAGTGCGTGTTAATTGATCCCTGCTCCTTTGTCCCAAACAATCAGAATGTTCTTTTGAATCTTTTTGAACGAGTTTATTTTCATTCTCCCTCCCAATCACAGAAGGAGATACATTATTGTCATCTAAATTTTGGACTCCCTTCGATTCTTTAGAATCCAAGTTCACTATGTCCTTTTGTGATTGTTCTAGAAACTCGTCAACAGAGACTATTCTTGCGTTACAAGAATAGTTCTCATAA